TTGCGCAACCTGGGTATTTTTATTTGATCGCTTATAACTTACGTAGTTTTGCATCGATTTTCTTCGATGATAGCTTATTTTTTTTGTAATACAACAGAGCTTAGGGAGAAAAATCTGCAAAAAAATAAAAGGTTTTCGACATCCTTCCCCGCAAAGTACAATTTTTTTTATATTTTTACAAAAAAAATTGAAAAAATCGGTAATGATTGTTCGTTATCTTTGAATCTACAGGGCCTAGCAAAAAGTGTTGTATGCACAGTTTATAGAAAATTTTATTACCTTTTAAAAGCTTCAAACCGTTTAGGAATTGCTTAATTCGTTCTTGAGATATATATGATAAAGTGGACCCAATTTTTTTTTTTTTGCAAAAACGGTAAATTTCAAATATCTCAAAAACGGTACCATAGAATTAAAAATAACCTTGATTTTCGGAATCAGGGGGTGATTTTACATAAGAATTTCATAACGGCGTTTCTGGTAAAGAGAAAAAGTTGAAATTTGTGGTCCAGTGTAATTTGATTTAATCTTTATATAGATTTGTTGCTCAATACCGTCTAAATAAGGATGCGTTCTCCATGGTATTAAGTGAAGTGGAACCATACTTAAAAAATATGTCCATTCCACCTATTATTCAATTGGCTGCCACACTGAGGTTCTTTGGTGAAGGAGGTTACCAGAGGTCAGTAGGAACAGATGCAAATATCCAATTAGGTCGTAGCACTGTTTCCAAAGTTATTGGCAATGTGCTTACCGTCCTCGAATGGAAACTCTGCCAAAAGTGGATCAAGCTAAATGTGTCAGAAAGTGAGCGACGCCAATGTAAATCATTTTTTTTTAACAAATGGGGGATACCTGGTGTAATCGGGTGCATTGATGGCATCCACATCGAATTAATAAAGCCACTAACGGATGCCCCCTCGTATTACAATAGGAAGGGTTATTTCAGCATAAATGCTATGATTGTGAGTATATATGTACATGAACATATCGTTATTTTGTTTACGAGTCTCTCTATTTAAATAATAAATTGCAGATATGTGATCACAACATGACAATTCAAGCTGTTGATGCAACGCATCCCGGCTCCAGCCACGATTCTTTTATCTGGAAGCTCAGCAATGCATATTCTCATTTTGTGGCAAAATATCGGGGTGGCGAGCGTTGTTTTCATTTGTTGGGCGATAGTGGTTATGGCATTGAACCATTTTTGATAACTCCATTTAGGAATCCAATTGCCAATACAATAGAGCATAACTTTAATGTAGTACACGCTTCTGCGCGTAATATTGTTGAACGAACTATAGGCGTCTTAAAATCTCGATTTCGTTGTTTAATTAGTTGCTTGCACTACAGTCCACAAAAAGTTGTTAAAATTATTAATGTCTGTTGCGCACTTCACAATGTGTGTAGACACTACAACGTTAACTTCGATGAAGAAAATATTACTGAAAATATTAATTTCCAAAATATGAACAACGAAAATAATATCGATGATGAAAGAGTATCATCGTTATATAACGAAGGAGTTCGTGTCAGAAATGAAATAGCAAACAATCTTACAGTTTGAAGTTCAGATAAATTTATTCATTTTTCAATGTCTTTTATATTTTTTTCGCATATACAGACACACAGTTAGTGGCAGTGAAAATCGCGCAGTAAGTTTCTTCAATTTTTTTATATAATAAATTTGTTTATGAAATAATACTTCACATACATATGTAACGGAAAGTTTCAAACCTTGTAACAAATTAACAGAATTTAGTAAAATTTTCATAAAAGTTTCGAATTGCTTAATCTTTTTTTTTAGCAAAATGTTTGGCATGTAGTCTTAAAGACGATTTTATTACAGTTTATAGTTGGAAGAAAATGCGTAACACCGTTACTTAAAACTCCATAAACTATAATTAAATGGGCTATAGGACTACATGTCAAACATTTCTCTAAAAATACTGAGTTTTATATTTGATGAAAATTTAACTAATTTTTATAAATTTGTTACAAAGCTTCAAACTTTCAGTTATATGGTTTTTTTTGAAGTGTGAAGTGTTATTTCGTAATTAAATTTATTTAATTTAAATGAAATAAATGTAAAAAGAATAAAAGAAATTTACTGGACCATTTTTATTGACTCATTTCATCTTAAAATATACTTTAAAGAAAACTTGTACTAAAAACTAATACATAAAAATAATTTAAAAAAATAAATCAAAACAAAACAAATTCATACATAAATAAAGAAATTCATATTTACAAGCTTGTACTAAAAACTAATACATGAAAATAATTTAAAAAAATAAATCAAAACAAAACAAATTCATACATAAATTAAGAAATTCGTATTTACAAAGAAATGTTGCTATTTTTTATGTAGTATTCTTTCTATATTTTCATGGTGATTTTTAAAGTCTTCTCTGATGCCATCCAACGTTTCGTTCGTTTTTTCCATTGCGTCACAGAAACGTTGCATGGCTGCGAGGTTCTCTTCTCGGTTTTCCATCAACGAATCCAGAAATTTTTTTGTAACTCCAGGGATTCCTTGAGACAGTCCTTGAAAATGAACACAATGTTATGCTGGATAACAGAATATCTTAATAAACTATTACCAGTAAGGAAGTTTCTTTTTTTCTTTTTGGAGTCGATGCCTGAATATCGTGTCGTGCCCGTTTTTGGCCTGTGGAAGTTGAGGGCATCACTTCTTCCTCAGTTAAATCTAGTACCTCCACCTCCAAGTCCACTGTTTCATCCAGCCCAAAGGATGTAGTCTCGGAAATACCCTGCACTACCGTGTACATTCCCGTAATACGCGCAAGAGTTTCCTCAGCTTCAGTCAGAGAATACTTATTGAAAATTCCGCCACCAGTCTCGGTAGATTCCCTGCGGTTATGTGCAAGTTTCTTACGCACCTCACACTTCCAATCAGTGAAAGTCTATTTTGAACACAATTTAAAATTTAAATTTAAATTTTCTTCTTTAAATTTATCAACATTGTATTTGTATTTATTTATTAATTCTACCTTTTTCCAACCATTGACATCCTTATATGGGCCCTGACTATTTAAAGCTCTTGCCATTGCTGCTCGACTTTCACCCGATCACCTTTGGCGTGGCCTCTGGCTATGTCCGGATTCCGTTCCATAAATTCTAGCAACGTCGCGCTT